TCAAGAGAGATAGGAAACGCCCCTTGAAAACTATAGACTTTCACCTGGTTCTGGGAGCCTAGTTCATCCAGAGCAGGACCGCAGCCAGCAACCATCTAACTGTCTTCCTTGCACTCTGCCCCACAAACCTATGTCCATTGTCATCTTCGAAAGGTGATTCCAACAAGCTACCAATGAAGACTTCATTAACTAACCCCACTTAGTCATTTTGTGTTAATTATGTTTGCAAAAAGGAAAAGTCCTTTATAATTCCATTCTATTCCCTGAAGAGGATGGGTTCTCTAATTGAGAGAACTTCTGTTTTGTTAAACACGGTAATTTATCAGGGACTCAAGTTTGGAAGTAGAAACTGGGATGGAATGCACTCCTTTGAATAATGAAAGGTTGAGGAGTCTGCATGAGGCTCTGGTGGGGGAGTTAAGAGCAGCAAAGCTTGAGGCTGGGAGTGGATGGGAAAAGCTCTCCATTGGCAGAATCAGAGAGAGTACTTGGGAAAAAGGCATGTTGTAGGGGGATTTCCAAATGAACTGCTGCAGTCTACATAATGTAAATCATGTCCCCTCACCCACTTTCAGTAAATTCTGCCTTGTTCACTAAGACCCTGGTATGAGAGGATAGAAAGTATATGAGCTTGAATAAGAGGATGAGGGGAAAGCTGATATCTGAATTACACATAGCATAAACAGAAGAAACCAGAGTAAGGAAAGCGAGAATTGGTACCAGCGATTAATAATTCGAGAATTTCAGATACGTTCTTTAGTCATTAATTCTATAATTTTAAAATGATATATACTGGAGTGCCATAATCTGAGTTACCATTCATCCGATAATTACTGAGTGCCCATTATTGGCATAATAATTGCTAGCGGTTATTAATTGCTAATGAGGATTCAGAAACGGAGAGCTTTCTTCTAGTTTAGAATAGCATAAATTTTAGGGAAGGCAACATGGAAGAAGTTGTATTTGAGTTGGGTCTTTTTGTTTTGTTTTGTTTTGTTTTTTTACAAGCCTTGAGTTGGGACTTGACAAGTAGATAGAAAATGGTCATGCACGGCTTTCCAGAAGAAAGGAACAGTAGGGACAATCTGACCGAAGGTAAAGTCGCACTATTTTTTCAACAAATATTTATCAATATCTATTGTGTGCTAGATCCTAAGGATTATAAAGATGAATTTGGCCTCATAGGCTTCTGTTAATATATCTGCAATTTTTCTGTTCATTCTGTTATTGGTTTGCCACACCTTCTAGGTCTTTCTTGGCCATATTTCTGCATGACCAGTTTTTCTCTCTTGAACCTATGTGTATGTGAGGCTTCTTTTGCTCCTTAAATTTACTACTTTCTATTTATTCTGGTGCATTTTAACCTGCTTTTGATGACCATTTCTCTAATTTATTGAGGCCAATTAAATTTCGATCTTCTATATACTTAGCATATCCATTTGCTTGAGGTCATATGTAATATTTCTGAAGACTTTTACTTTCTTTCCGCTGTTCAGACTCACATATCAACATACATTTGTGCCAATATATAGTGAAGTTTGGGAGAAAGACAAAAATATGGCCCCAGAATCCCAGATTACAAAAACATAGTAAATCTGTAATTAATCACAGTTTTGTCAGTGCAATTGCAATTATGACTCTGAAATGACAGTCATAACTATTAACAGTAGATATGTTACCCCACCACATGTAGAAACAGTGATGCACAATGCATTGGTCTCTATCTTGAGAGGCTTTCGGTCCAGATAAGGAGACATATAGATCACACACATACATTTGTTGGGCAGAGCACTTTTCTACCTCTCTTTCTAATGGATTGAGAACAAAAGTGAGAAAATGTGGGGGCATAGGAAGGAATTCCCTTCTCTTCTGTCCTGTCCTCTTACTGACTGCCTTTAGAAGGAAGAAGTTGTTCATTTGATTGGTTAGAGCCCAAGACATTCATTAGTCCACATTTTACTGGTGGTTGGGGTCAACAGTAGTTGAAAGGTCACATATGTGCTGCTTTTGCTCCCCATTGCCTTCTGAGTAGGTTCTGCCCAGTCTCCATTCAGGACACAACTAGATGAGTAAAGCTGGTCTGCTTTGCAAACTTGATCTTTCTGCCTATGTGTGCTAGTCCTAAAATTAAGAGGGCAGAGGGGGAGCAGGAAATAATAAAGCTTCACTTCAGCCTTAAACCTAAGCCATGTGATTCAACTCAGTCTTCTGACAGAGTTCTGGTCAAGAAGTTATTGAGTGCTAGTGCAGCTATGAATAAAATGATCCTTTAGTTTCTATTCCAATTTCTTTCTTGTGTATAGTTCCCTTGGGAACCCTAGGGAGAGAAGAGATGATCAGTAGAGCAGGATTTGGCTATTTCTGGTCCTCAGTTGTGGTAGACTATATTGTTGGTCATAACATTTCATAAATTTCTGCTGCCCTTCCTGGGGAAGGATTATAATTCCCTACCCCACTGATGTCAGACTTGGCCAGGTAATCTTGTTCTGACCAGGAATATGTGACCATGAATGACTTAACATGTATAGGTTCCAGGCCAGTGTGTGATTCATCATAACCACTACTTCTCTTCCACGAGACCAATATTGTTCTAGATAAAGGTTGCTCTATCATCTTGGGTCCCAGCATAAAGACAACCTAGAATACAGCCAAGCATACCTTCAATGAACATGTATGGTATTTTGAGAAATAAAACTTTGTTATAAACCACTTTAGAATCACTTGTTACTGCAGCTCAACTAGCTTACTCTGACTGATATATTTACTTTATCACCATCTGAATCAAACACCATTGTTTGCCCTCTCAATAACTATTCTCCCTTCATTCCGCCTAAGAGAACTCCGATTTTGCCTAGGTATTCACCTAACTCTACATGCATTTTGAGGAGGGATCCTAATTTTCAGCCACAGGGAGTGAATCATAATTAAGCCATTTATGATGGTTTCTTACTCCTTCCTGGTGACTACTTTAGATATGGGAGAGTGTGGAAAGTTTGCTTGAGGGCTCGTGAGACAAGATTTCCTTGCTAATAAAAAGAGACACATGGGAAGAAACAGTCTCTCCACTTCTGCTGGACAATGGGTGTATGCATGTGTCAGCAAGAATTGTGGCAGACATTTTTAACTATGAGGAGCACTGGCCTAAGGATGTCAGAGTGAAAAGATGGAAAGAACGTGGGTCCCTGATAATGTTATTGAGCTGTTAAATGAACTGCCTCTAAAGTTGACCTCCCCTTAGATTTCTTGTTACATGAGATAATACGTTTTCCTTATTGTTTAAGACATATGAATGGAGGAAAAAAGAATGAGTTTAGCTTTAGGGACATTGAGCAGGACAGCATCATTTTATATTGGTGAAGCTCAAAAGATGTCAGGGTTAAATTTGAATTTGGAAGTCATCTATGGAGAAATATTACATAAAGTAATACATTTTAGAAAATAATTCTATGCCTGGGATAGTACCTCTGTGCTTGAGGAATTTGGGTACTATAACAAAACATTACCCTCTTAACTATGTCATTGTCTCACCTCCTCGCTTATCACCTTCCTAGAAAAGAGAGATCAGGGGTGGTAGCAGCTTCCTAGAGAGGAAGAGCAGATGGTGAGGAAGTGATTATAACATCTGGATCCTCAGGTCCTGATCTCCTCAAGCCTGGGTTTTGGGGATCTTGGTAGCCATTTGAACATGACTTAAACATTCTAGCCTGCGTAGATGACTATGAAAATGGGTTATAAGCAACTTCTAAATTTACTGACTCTTACATACAAATTGTTGTTCCAGGAAATTATGGTTCTGATCATCTTATAGACGTCCTATGTATGATACTACAGAAGCCCAGTAGGAAGCATTAGGGTCAAGAAAATATACACCATGGCATGTCCAGGAAATGGTCCATAGATAGACTCTCTAGTGTCCAAATTGATATGTTAGCAGAGAGTTTTGAAAGTTACTAATCCATAGGACACTAGGTTACTGTTACTTTACGAAAATATATTGAGGCAGGGTGGTATTTACTTGAGACATCTTACCCTATTTCTAAGTTGTCATTACTGGGCTTGTCTTGAAATTGCCCTTGATTCTCTAAACCAAAAATAAAAAGGACATATCTTAATGAGTTGAAAGAGCAAATGCAATCACCAAAGATGGCTAACTTCAGTATTGCAGTTATTTAAAATGGAAAATCTGGCTTCAAACATTGTTGTTTGCAGAATCTACAATTGGCTAGGATCAAGGATGGTGTTTAAAGATGACTCGGTTTTATGGCCTGAGGGGGAAGGAAGACCAGCCACTGGTCTATCTGACTCAAAGGAGTCTTAGATCCGTTTTCATCATGCTGAGGTTCTACAGGCCCAGAACCGCTGCAAACTAGAAGGTGTACAGTGTAAGGAAATCTGAGCCCCTGAGCAATGTACCTTCTAACTAACTACCTAAATCGAGACGGCTAAAATCCAACTCCCCACAACCCTCATCTCCAGCTCCAGACCAGAATTTGGGCAGAGGTTCCAAGGCCAGGGTCTAACCGGGGCCTAGCCAGGTGACCTTCGCCAGGCTCCGGAGTCCCCCTTGGGACGTCCCTGAGGCCTTGCCCAGGCTCTGTAGGGGGCCACCGGTGACCCCGGCCCCGATGCTCGCGACCGCCTTTGGGACGCATCCCGCTGCCTGCTGCTCACCACTGGCGGGTCAGCCTGGACACCCCTCCACCCCACCGGCCGCCGCCCCGGCCCCTCCCGCTCCCGCCGCCCCACCCCGGCCAGCACGCCA